TCCTTGGTGAAGTGTCTGTTCATGTCCTGTGCCCATTTTTCAGTTGGGTTATTTGTCTTTTTCTTGTACAGGCATTATAGTTTCCTATAGATTTTAGGAATGAGTCCCTTGTCTGATGTGTCATTGCAGAAGATTTTTTCCCATTCTGTGGGTTCCCTTTTTACTCTTTTGGTGAAGTCTTTTGATGCACATAAGTTTTTAATTTTTAGTATTTTGTCTACTTTTGTTTGTGTACTTTTCAAAATGTTCAGTAATCTGTGTATTCCCTGTATTAGAGCCCCTATTTTTTCACTGATAACTTTCATAATTTTGGAATTCACATTTAGATCTTTAATCCATGCTGAGTTGCTTTTTGTATAAGGTGTGAGGTGAAGGTCTTGTTTCAGTCTTTTGCATATTGCTTTCCAGTTCTGCCGGCACCATATGTTAAAGAGACTATCTCCTCCCCACGTAACATAGCTAGACACTTTATCGAAAATCAGTTGGCTGTATGTGGATGGGTTAATTTCTGGATTCTCGATTCTGTTCCATTGATCAATTTATCTTTCATTGTACCAGTACCAGTCTCTTTTGACCACTGTAGCCGTGTAGTAGACTTTGAAGTGGGCAAGTGAGAGGCTTCCAACCTTGTTCTTCTTGAGCAGTGCTTTGTTTATCCTGTCTCCTTCCTTTCCATATAAAGTTTGTAATTATCTTTTCCATCTCTCTTAGAAGAATGTCGCTGGAATTTGGATTGGAATTGTATTATATGTGTAAATTGCTTTGGATAGTATTGACATTTTCACGAGGTTGAGTCTTCCTATCCAGGAACATGGTATATTCTTCCACTTTTGTAAGTCTCTTTTGCTTTCTTGTAGTTGTGTTTTGTAATTCTCTTTGAATATGTCCTTTGTTTCTCTGGTTATATTTATTCTGAGGTATTTCATCCTTTTTGTGGCTATTGTAAATGGTATCACTTCCCTAATGTCCTTTTCAGTGCTGTCATTGTTACTATGTTGTTGTTGTTGTTGTTATGTGCCATCGAGTCGGTTCCAACCCATAGCGACCCTGTATAGTTACTATAGGGGAATGCAACTGATTTTTGTATGTTGATCTTATACCCTGCCACTTTGCTGAATCTTCCAATGATGTCTAGTCTTTGGGGTTTTCTATGTATAGGACCATATCATCTGCAAATAGAGTTTTATTTCCTCTTTGCCAATTTGGATGCCTTTAATTTCTCTATCCTGCTGTATAGCTCTGGCTAAGACTTCCAAAACAATGTTGAAAAGGAGTGATGACAAAGGGCATCCTTGTCTGGTTCTCGTTCTCAGAGAGAAGGCTTTTGGTTTCTCTCCATTGAGAGTGATGTAGGCTGGAGAAGAATGTATATTGTACTGCTGTTGGGTTGAGTGCTGCTCTTTATCTGTCTAGGAGGTCAAGTTGGTTGATTGTGTTATTTAGTTCTTCTGTGTGTTTGTTAAGTTTCTTTCTGGTTGTTTGGTCTTTCATTGAAAGTAATGTACTAAATCTCTTTCTATTATTATGGAGTTGTCTGTTTTGTTCTTCAGTTCTATTAGATTGATTTATGTGTTTTGATTCTCTTTCATTGAGAGCATAGATACATTGTTGTTGTGGTTACCTCTTGTTCAATTAATATAGTTAGTGTCCTTCTTTATCTCTTATTCTGGTTTTTACTTTAAAGTCTATTTTATCTGAGAGTAATATTAACACTCCTGTCTGTTTATGATTGTCATTGGCTTGATGTATTTTTTTTATATCCTTGGATTTTTAGTCTATTTTTGTCTGTATTTGTGGTGTATCTCTTGTAAACAGCATATTGAAGGATCCTGTTTGTATATGTATTCTGCAACTCTGTCTCTTGAGTGGTGCATTTAATCCATTTACATTTCATGCAATTATCGATAGGTAGGAATTGATTGCTATCATTTTGTTGTGGTTTTGTGTGTGTGTGTGTGTGTGTGTGTGTGTGGTACTGCTGGGTTTTTTGTTCCACATAATTTTATGCACTGAGTTTGTTTGTGGGCTTCTTTTCATTTTCTTCATTGCTATTGTTTTAATGCTTACTAGAGCTTTCTGATTTAACTTTTTTGTAATTTTGCTGTGCAGGTATATTAATTTTCTTTGAGGTTACCCTCAATTTATTAATTTATTCCCTAGTTTAAAATAGTCTGTTTTATATTGAAACTTACTTGACTTCCTCATCTTTTGGAAGTTCTGTACCTGCACAATTCCCTCATTTTGCTTTGTAGTTGTCTTTATTATAAATTGGTATCCCTGGTTCCCTTTTTTCAGTCTTGGAGGTTTGATTAACTTTAAATATTTCTATATCTAACTTGAATTTTGGATGGTATTGTCATGTTTGTTAATTTCAAATTGTTGTCTGCTGTTGTTGGTTCTCAGTCCAAAGAACACCCTTTAGGATTTTTGTAAAGTTGTTCTGGTTACTACAAATTCCTTTAATTTCTGTTTGCCTGTAAGTGACCTTATTATGGCTCTTGGTTGGCTTTTTTTTTTTTTTTTACTTTTGTATATATGCCATTCCATCGTCTTCTTCCTGCATGATTTCTACTGAGAAATTGGGGTTTAGATATATTTTTTTAAATTATGAATTGTGTGAAGGTTTACACACAAGATCATCAGTTTTACCTTTATCAAGTTGTGTGCTTTGTTTCAACTCCATGATTACAATGGTTACTGGGTTTCATTTCTAGGTCAAACTTTTAGTTTTTCCCAAGCTGCTCTCAGGATTCTTTTCCTTGTCTTTTGGAAAATATGATTATGATATGTCTCAATGATTCTCTTTGGGGTTCTATCCTGTTTGGTATTCTTTCGGCTTATTGAACGTGCATCTTCTAATTCATGATGCTAGAGAAGATTTTTTCCAACAGTTCTTTGGCAGTTTTCCCTCTGAGTTTTATTGTCTCTTCCTGTTGTGGAAGTCCAGTCACCTGTAAGTTATTCCTCTCCATGGTGCCCCACAGGAATCTAAAACTTTCTTCGGATTTTTTCATTCTGGTCTCTGATTGTTCTTCTAAGTTACTAGTACTAAGAGATTTATCTTCAGGCTCACTAATTTGGACCTCCATGGATTCAAATAGACTCCTTTGCCCTTTCAGTATAATGCCCATTTCTGAAATCTTAGTATATTAATTTTCTGAATTTGTTTTTGTATTGTTTCAAATGTTTTATTTTCTTTTGTTTGTCTTACAGTATTTTCCTTATTTCTTCTAAAGTTTTTTCCTGTGTTTTCCCTGCTTTCCACAATCTTACATTATTGAAAGTACCACACATCCCTTTCTGAATTCTTTCTCTGATAGTTCCATTACCTTTTCTTCCCCAGAAACCTTTTCTGACTCTTCAGCTTAGATATGTGTTTGAGCCACTTTCTCATGTTTCTTCGTGTGAACTGAAATTGTGGGTTGTCTCTGAGACATGGTGGTATCGTTGTGTTTGTATTCAGTTGATGATTGTATGTTGGCATGTTCTTAGTTTCTCATCAACTGCTTCTTGGTGGATGTGATTAGAGAATGGAAACGTGTGCCAGTTCACTGTTTGCTGTTTGTGCAGCTCAGTTTAAGGTGGATTTGGCTGGTGTGGGCTGCTGATCAGGTGGTATAGGAGCTGGTATTGGCACCTGTACAGTGGGTGGAGCTGCAGAGGGTGCAGTTGTGTCTGTACTGTGTGTGTACGGTTTCTGTGACAGCGGAGTTCCTTGTTCTAGATGGAGATTCTATTGGCCTTGGTATTATCTATGTTCAGGGCACTCAATCCAGAAGTAGTTTGTGGGGGCCCTTGTGGGGCTGGTTTCAGTGTGTGTTAGGACCACAGGGCAGCTGGGGGCCGGGTGACTGGTTCAATGCTGGTCTGTGGGGTTTGTAGCTCTGGAGCCAAGCCCACCTGAACCCAGGCACCAAAGCAGTGCAACCAGCCCCCACCTCACGCTGGTGTGGCTCCCGACCATGTGGCTGTAAACTGCCGGAGAGCAGGGTCTGTGCTGGGGGTGGATGGGGGTGGGATCTGGCCACACTTCTGGTCACCAGGGGAGTGTGGGGAAAACGAAGAAGTCACATCTTTTCCATCACCCATGCGAATCCGCTCTGCCAGGCCTCTGTCCGCTGCCAAAGCTGCTCACCAGCTGGTGGAGCCGCGTCTGATCCACCATTCACCAGCCAGTCTCCCGCTCTCACCACCTCTGCCCAGACTCTCCTCCCAGCAAGCACTCCAGCCGCCTCGCTAACCTTTCTTCTGAAGGATCAGGCTGCCAGAATTTTCTTATGAGTCTGTGTTATTTGGTCTCTCGTTTCTTTGTTGTAGAGGGTCTGTGTAGTGCGCCTGCCTAGTCCAGCATTTTGCAGGAAGTCTGTTCATTGTTTTATAATTCTATGTTTCCATGAACTTTTCAAATCCCCCTCATCCAGCAAGCTGTATTGTCACTGAAATGTGTTTATTCGGTACTTTGCAATAATAGCCATTTACAAAATGGAACCCACTATTGCTAAATCTTGGGAGAGATCATCAGGGAGAGATCCAAGAGCCAGCAGGGGGCCCAGAGGAATGTGTACCTTTTAGTGCAGAGAGAAGGGTGCTGAAAAGATGGGAGAAGGACATGGAAGATGAATTGTCCTTCCCCTGTCTGCCGTGAATACATGAATCTTGCTTTTGTATGTGGACACACACACACACACGTGTGTGTTTTTCTAGAGCAGAGCCATAATGGAACAGGTCCATTTGCAGCTCCCAGATTGACTGGTTCCCGGTTCCCACTGCAGGCGGAACACTCGAAGAGCAAAAGCAGCCAAAACGCAGCTCGCCCCTCCAGCGTGCCTTCATGCAAGTCCCTGTCATCCAGTGAAGACGGCCCTAGTGGCCACTCCAGCCTCTTGGATGGGGAGCTGGCTCGGAACCTGCAGGACAACATCAGGCACCGCATCCTCTACCTGTCGGAGCAGCTGCGCGTGGAGAAGGCCAGCCGGGATGAGAACACGGTGAGCTATCTCAAGCTGGTGTCCAAAGCCGATAGGCACCAGGCCCCGCACATTCGGCAGGCCTTTGAGAAAGTGAACCAGCGCACCTCTGCCACCATCGCCCAGATCGAACGGAAGCTCCGCCAGTACCACCAGCAGCTGCAGGAACTGGAGGAGAAACGCCGGCCCAGAAGCCCTGTGAACAACTGTGAGCAGCCAAGCCAGAAGACTACGTGTTCGGAGACCTCCAAGCCAGACAGGAAAGTGGCCTTGGCCACCCATCAGTCCGCCGTCACCCAGCAGCGTGCCCTGCGCCTGAAGAAGATGAAGGTGGAGTTGGTGGAGATCAAGAAGCTGCACCTCAGCCTCCAGGTGTCCTGTGAGAATCTCAAGGAGAAGTATCAGGCTGACTTGCAGCTATTGCTGGAGACCCTGCAGGAGAGGAAGCACAGGTGAGGGCCAGGAAGTGGCCACAGGTGAGCTGGGCACCTTCCTCATAGGCTTCCCACCACCCTGTGTGCTCTGGTGGCAGTGAGGTCCTGCCGGGTGCTGGTGGGGGTGTGGGACCCGGAGGCACTTTGGGTAACTGCAACTCCACTGGACTCGGGACAGGTATGCCTCATTAGCCCGATTCGCACTCTTTTTACCTGAATTATTTATAGCTCATGTTGGGCACAAGATCAGGTTCTGGGTACTCGTTCCAAAAATACCCTCTCCATTGTGCAGCGAATCAGTTTAGTTGTAGTTGAAGACTAGACCAGGGCCCATCAACAGGGACAAAGCCAACCAGAGGATTTCCGAAGGCTTCCTGAATTCCTCTTCAGACCCTTCTCTGGTGGCCTCCTGGCGCCCATGCCCAGTACTAAATGAGACCTCGTAAAGGAGGGGACTGCCCGTTTCCATGAGAACTCAGAGCAGCATTTGTGGTGCTGGCCAAGGCCGTGCCTCTTCTAGATGACCCATCAGAATCACAGGTCAACACAGTCTAAAATCTCAAGGACATTCCCCGAATCAGGCGAAGAGAATGTGGCAGCAGTTATGAGTCTCCCCCTGTTTCTGTATTGCACAAGACAAGACTGTTAGACGTGGGGAAGCTTGTAACCTTCTGTAAACCAGTGTATTTCCACGGAAGGGACTGTGGGGGGCTTTTGAGATTTCCAGTAGCTTGTTACAGCAGTTTGTTCTGACTAATGTACATTATAAGCCACAAAGCAGGTCCATAGAGCACACATTTGCTAGGAGAACTGAAGGAAGGACAGCAGATGACTGGAGGCGAGAAGAGTAAAACCAAGGAGCATGCGGCATATTGGTCCAGGGCTGGTTCAGACATGCACTTCATAGATTGGGGCAACTGAAGCTTGGAGAAAAACCAGCGTGGTACATTAGCTGAAGGGTACATGGGAATTGGTAGTGTTTTTTCCCCCTTTAACACTCTGCCTTCTTTTCCTTATTTGATTGTCTAATAACATTGGCTGTGTTTATCCTCTTACCTTCTTCACAAGCTGCCTGATTTTGGCTCCCAGGCAGCCCACCATTCCGGTGAGTTTCCTTCCACTTTGTTTGAATGTTCCTTCTCTTCTCTTTCACTGGCACTCCCCAGCAATCCTCACCTCAGGAGTACTCACCCCTCACTTCAACCCATGGCCTCCAATTCTCTGTCTTCAAGTTGAAGACCAGTAAGTTCTAGCTGAATTTTCCAAAAGTCAATTCTCAGAAATGATCTGTGATGAGGATGCTCTTTTGTAAAAATGATAATGTTGAGGACATTGTTACGTTGTTGGCCTTTGCCTTGGTCGATTCGGTTGATGCTCTCTGCTGCCTTCTGAGCTCCTCACTCTTGTCAGTTTGGTGTTTATGATGCCCGTGCATGTTTTTGTGTTTTTTTTTTAAATATTTTATTGTGAATTATGTGATACATGGGAGAACAATCCCCTCCACCATGCATGCTTTTATGTTTTTGTGCTTACATATGCAGTCATGAACAACATGAAGTGATACTTTGCTTGTGTGTATGTGTTCTTAGCAGCTCTAGTGAGCTATGATTTACGTACCATAAAACGTACCGCTTCAAATGTACATTTCCACAGTTGTAAGTCATGTGACTAAGTCATGCAGCAATTCCCACCATCCACTTTTGTTCTTTATAACAACTTTATTGAGATGTAATTCACATATTATAAAATCCCCCCCTTTCACCACGTGCAGCCAAAGGGGTCTAGTCATAGAATTGTGCAGCCCTCACCGCTGCTTGAGGCCTGAGCATTCTCATCACCCCCAAGAGGAAACACCACACCACTAGCAGCCACTCCCTGTCTCCCCGACCCCATCCATCCGTCCCTGGCAACCACTAATCTGTTTTCTGTCTGGATAGCTCTGCCTCTTCTGGGTATAATACGGGCCAAACCCAGGTGCTGGGGATATAGACAGAGTTTAATAGTGGATGCAGACACTTTAGAGTTGATCGTCTACTACTTTTAATGTAGAGCCATTGTTGGCAAGCTGTAACAAAAAGTAAGTGTGTCTAAAACATATATGGATCTAGAGGTGTGCGTGTGTATGAACAAAATGCCTTGGGAGAGCCCCCAGAAATTGCTGGATGAGAAGGTAGGGTTTGACTGGAACTTGGAGATAAAGTAGGAAGGCAAATGTGAGGTTCAGGAGGCTGTCAGCATAAACTGCGAGAGGGACTGAAGGACCTTCCTTTCTCTTCATTCCCCAAGACAACAGATGATGGAAGGACAGGGGAATGGCCACCTGCAGGGGTACCTGAATGAGATTTACCACCTCAAGCAGAATCTAGCCTGCACAGAAGAGAAAATGGTCTACCTGTCCTACGAGAGAGCCAAGGAAATATGGGTGAGAACCTCCAAGGGGTCCTGGTGAGATGGGGACAATGAGAAGTATGTGGGGCCTATTGTTTATCAGAGAATCAATTTTCATGGTCCCCGCCAGCTTTCCTCTCCGTAAGGGCATCGCATCCATTGATCTCAGAGCTGCCGTCGCCCCATCTGTACATGCATGCTCCGTTTCCCACGGACCAGATTGCCTTATTTGGTGATTTCAGAAGCTGGTTCTCCCACTTGAGGATGCCCCAAAACCACCTGGAGGATTTGTTAACAGGCCAGGGGCCTGGACTCGGTGGGTCTGAGGTGGGGCTTAACAAGTGCCCTTTGAGAACCGCTGCTTCAGGTCATGGGTCACTGAACATGTGGTTAGGCATTCCCTATACCTGTCCATGATGAGTTTAATTCACTCTCTTCCATACCCTGTCCTTGGTCCCAGGGCAGCCTAGATGCGCACGCATGCGCATGTGCATAAGAGAGAGCGAGAGGAGAGAGGCCAACACAGGCTGAATCAAAGGCTCTTGTGACTTCCCTCCTAAAAGAATATTGGCCAATATTGGCAGGCCATTCCCTTAGGAGCAGACTGTTCTGATAACGGAGTGAGAGTGTGTTTGTCACCTGCAGGAGGTCTTGGAGACTTTCAAGAGCCGGATAGCCAAGCTCGAAACTCTCCAACAAGTGGCCCAACTGGAGATGACGGAGAAGCTGAGAAGCCGCCCTAAGGAGCTCCTGTTCAGGTTCATCAGTCTACTTCTCACCTTGGCCACCATCATCTTGATCTTCATCTCCACTGTGTGCTCCTGCCCCTGGCCCTCTCTCAACCCACGTCTACGCACATGCACTTCCCTGGTGCTCATAGGGCTTGGGGCTCTGGCCTGGCAGAAGCGGCACGTCATCTTCACCACCGACTGGCAGGCCTGGGTCATGTCTAAGTGGCCTTTATCAGAGGGACCCTAAGGGCTAGAAAGGCCATGTGCATGAGTTTTCTAGCTCTCTCCCCCTTCCTGGTTGTCAGAGGTCCCCAAGGAGCTCTCCCGAGAGAACCCATCCTTAGCACCCCTTTAGGAGCCTGGTTAGAGCCGCGCAGATGCCCGCCCATCCTGCACTCACATTCTTCACAGCCCTGCAGCATCACCTGTGGAGACCAGGGCTGAAGGAGATTAAAGTCTAGGAAGTGCAGAGGTCCTTTGTCCTTTCCTGTTTATCCTCCGTCCTCCCTGAAAAGGGGCCCCAAACAGCCTTGGCTGCCTTTGTGATGTTTAGGGTTGCCAGAGAAAAAGAGAAAGTCCATTTATTTCCCAGGGCTAGACAAGAAGAAGGGGATAAGGAGCGGTAACCAAAGGCTTAGTAGGGGGACAGGGAGGCTCATGCTGGTGAGACCGAGGAGACAGATGAGGCCTCTGTTCTGGAGGTCCTAGAGAGTCAGAGCCATCCACCCACCTTCTTCCCAAAAAGCTGCAAGATGCAGTTCCGAAACTGAAAGGCTGAAAGTGTTAGGTCAGCAGAGTAGGAGGGGCCAGTGTGTTTGGCTGTAGAAGATGCTTAGAGGACAATGCAAATGAGGACAGTGCAATTGAGGGAGTCTCCATGGCTACACCAATGGCCTCAGACATGCCGACCAACAGCCAGCATTTTGCTGTGTTGTACGTAAGGTTGCCATGAATTGGCGCCAACTCAGTGGCAACTAGCAACAATGAGAGGCAATACTTGTGGCTTCCTTAGGAAGGTCTTCCTTAAGTGCCTCATTGATGGCCCCAAACCTCTTCCACATCTCTGAACAGATGGTGTGTTTCTTACGGCTCAGTCATCCAGGTAACCCATCGAATTTAGCAGCCCAGGCATGACAGGGGTGCATACAATGAGTGGTCATTTCCAGGCATTTCTCTTCCATCAATTTGGGGGAAAGGTGAGGACTAGGTCAACAGGGGATGGATTGGGGCCTGCGCCAGGGTATTTCTGACCCATGGACCTTCCTGGTCACCATCAAGCTGCATTGTAGCTGCTCCTTAATGAAGTGAACACAACAGAGTCACGGAAAGAAAGCTTACTTGTACTTATAAGAAGATGGCTTTGGGTGGCCACCTTGAACCTGCCAAGAGGTCCTGGGTGGTTTATCACTGGGGCCCGTAGTGTCTGCTAATGATGGCTGCCATTGGCCAGACCTTGAGGCAAGTCAGCTCAGCCAAAAAAATGGCCCATTCTAGTACTTGTAGGAAACAGAGCTCAAAATGTTAAGCTTCTAAAATGGGAAGATGAAGCTTTGGAAATGAGTTGAATCTCTAAAAACCAAGAAGGGCCGAAGGAGGCTAAAGGCATTTGGATTCCAGAACATTACCTAACACGTGATAGCAGTAGAGCTGTAACAAAGTGGACAGCTACTGAGTAACCCCAAACCAGCTGCTCTCAAGTGGCTTCCAGCTTCCAGTAACCCTGTGTAGCGTTTCCGAGAGGAAATCTGTATGGGAGCAGAGTTTAGCCCCCAGTGTCCCCAGGGCTCCTGTGCTAATGAATAGATCACTAGATGTCTGGGTCTGGGTACAGTTCATAAAGCCATAGATGATGGGGTTGTAGATAGTGGCACTTTTGGTGAAGTAGGCTGGCAAGGCTGCCACCAGGGGGTGGAAAGCGTAGCCAGGGTGAGCAGCAGCAAAACATGCAAAGAAGGTGTAGGGCCTCCAGCAGAGACAGTAGGTGAAGAGCATGACCGTCACCATTCGCGGCCCCTCCTTCTCAGCCTTCTGGGTGGACTCAGATTCCTTCTGCTGCTTTGCCAGTGAGTCGGGGATGCAGTGCGCGGTGCCCAGGGACAAGGAGCCCTGGGGAGAAGGGCTGGCCTGTAGCCCACTCCCAGTTGGTGCCAGGCTGGGTGGGCGCAGGGGGGAGTCTCAGCTTTGAGGTAACTGCTATAGTAGGGCCTCCCAGCAAGGTAGGAAGGGGCCACAGAAGCTGGTATCCTATCCCACCTGAGCCTTTCTCAGGGTCCTTGAGTTAAGACTACAGGATGAATGAGATGGAAAATAATGAGGAGCTCCGAGTGATGGGGGTAGGGTCAGTTAAGAAAAAGTGGTTGGCCCGAGGCCTGGGACAGCTCTGGGACAGCCCGCCCTGTATGTGTACACAGAAATGAAGTGGACAGAGGGGCCTCGATGGTCCGGGCCGCAGAGCTTTGGGTATTGGGACCAATCAGGGTCTGGGAGCACATGCTGGTCCGAATGTGGGCACCCGCAGAGGGCTGGGCAGCCACCACCCCACCCCCTACCAAACTAGGGAGGGGAGTGACTAAGGGAGGGGCAGTGAGAAGTGTGGCCGTGGGACTGGCTCCTGGCGTGAATGGCACCCCTGAGCCCCATTTTGGCCTGCCCTGTGGCCTCATGGAAGCCTGTGCTGGGGGCCTGTACCTGTTAGATTGGCAGGCTTCATTTGTCTGATCTGGCCAGCACTGCCCTGGGACAGCAGGCGGGGCCTCCTTTGGGGAGGGTGCGGGCAGGGGGTTGGGGGCACAGACTGCCTTATCCACACTGCTGTTCTTCCTGGTGTGGAATCCTCTTATCTGGGGAGCTCAAGGAACTGCTGAGGACTCGCAGGACTGGTTTAGCTGGACTGGGGGGTCCTCCCTCCCAGACTAATGATGAAGGCCGGAAGGCCCAGAGGGGGCTTACTGCTCCAATGGCCAGCCACACGTGCAGGTAGCAGAGCACAATGATGAGGACAATCATGTACGATGTCACCCCAGGGTACGAGCTGCCGTGGGGCCAGTACCTGGAGACAAGGGATCTAATTCAGGACAGATGGCCAGCCAGCAGGGCTCTGATCCAAGCTCACTCCTGACCTGGGCGGGCTTTGGTAAGCCCGTGTTCCTTTTTAGGTCTCATGCCCCCTCTTCTTTACGCAATCATCACCACAGTTGTCCTGTGAGTGCCTGAGTCTCTTTTCAGGGAAACATTAGGTAGTGAAAACCCATGAGGACCCTTCCCTCTAGCCCTTATCCCTGGGAGCCTGGCTGCTGGAGATACTTAAGCAGCCAGAATGGAGAGGGACGTGGGCATGGGCCTGTACCCGGAAAAGCCTCACTCAATCTATGATTTCTAGCCAATTATTTCATGTCTGCTATTTAAGACTTGTGGTCTAGTTCCCAATCTCACTGTCATATCTCAATAAGAACCGGGAACAAGGTCAAAAGGAAAACATGGTTTCACTCTTACCATCCCCAAAGTAATGTTAGGAGAGAGCAGGCTTTGGGGCCAGCCTTGTGTGAGTGACTTTTCCTGGACTGTCAGTTTACAGGCACCCCAGCATGTGTCTCTGACAGGCAGCTTCCCTGGGGGCAGGCAGGCAAAGAAGATGCAGTTCACAAGGCTTACTTCTTATCAAGATGGGAGTCCTTCCCCTCATCCTGCTCCCTTCACACAAATGTCTGAACCACTCTCCAGAGTCTGCAAGAAGCCTGGGCCCAAGAGCCGAGTACCCAGGAACTGCTTGGGACCCCCAGGCTCATCTGTATGCGCCAGTTAGATGAATGCAGTCATGGGCATGGCATGCTGGAGGGCTCTCAGGCACAGTGGGCTCAGAGATAGGAAGCGATGCCCTTTGAGGCCACAGAGGGGCTCACAGATGAGCCCTCCCTCTTTTCTCTCTAGGCATGCTTACCTGCTCCATCCAAAGTTGGGAGGTCCAGATGGCGGACCACACCCAGGAGACGGCAATACCCATGATGGCCAGTTTGGCGTCAAATCTCATATTGCCAAAAGGCTTGCAGACAACAAGCCATCTCTCCCAGGAAAGGATGGCCAACGACCAGAGGCCCGTGATCCCTGCGGGGGAGAGCAGACAGAGCGTGCAGTAGGCACTGGGGCCAAGCCAGTCTGAAGCAGGAAGACCATGCAGTAGGAATGCATCCAAGGTCACCTTGTCCTACAATGTTCATTCTCCAAACAGTCTTTGAGAATGATGGTCCATGGCAGGACTCGAACACCTGCACTCCAGTTCCTTCCCTGGGTGCCTGCACCCCCACCCTCATCCCCGTTTCACTAAGCCTGTCTTTCCCTTCCCCACTTGGTCCCTTCCCCAGCAGACTTGGTTCTCCACCATTTTCTACTCTTCCCACGTTCTTCCTTTCTTCCTAATCTGTATTATTTGCCCTTGAAATCTTGAAGCTGGGAATTCAGAATTTACTGAGCCCAGCCTCCCCTCACCTACTGCAAGAAAGAGAAGGAGGGAGGGAGGAAGGGAAGAGACGAGAAAAAGAAAGGCAGGAAGAAGAAAAGGAGGCAGAACTCATGACTCCATACAGATCAGGGGGGGCCACACTAAGGAGCAAGAAGGGTACATGTCCCACTGTTGTTGTTGTGTGCTGTGGAGTCGGTTCCGACTCATAGTGACCCTGCACAGGGTTTCCGAGGCTGTACATCTTTACGGGAGCAGACAGCCTCACGGTACACGTCCCATTAGGCTTCTAGAAATTATGTGGGATTCAGGCACGTGGTGGACAGAGACAGACAAAAGGACATCTTGGTTTTCCCGAGCCTCCAGTGCAATCAGAACGATTGCTTCCCTCGTGAACGTGGGTGACAGGCACGATGTCTGGAAAGATCTATGACGTTCATCACTCCAGTACTTTGAAACTTCGGTAGGCAGTAGACCCACTGGGCCGATTGGTTATTTGACATTGGTAAATAACGGCATCACTAAGCCCTTTATCTTTATTGTGGGGGAAAAAAATATACCTCTAACTCTGGTGGCGTAGTGGTTACGAATCAGGCTGTGAACCACAAGGTCAGCAGTTCGGAACTACCAGCTGTTCCACGGGAAAAAGACAAGGCTTTCTGCTCCTGTAAAGATTTACAGCTTCGGAAACCCTGTGCAGGGTCGCTATGAGTCGGAACCGACTCCACTGCACTTAACAACAACAACAAAAATGTGCATTTTACCCATTTTTCCTAATACTTTTAAGAAACAGTTTGTACCAATATTTTTAGTGAATTTTGAATATTTGATAACTGGATTGCAACAGACATGGTGGACAATGCATTTGCCAGCATTCTTTGGAGAAGGTCCTACATGGCTTCACTGGTGGCTACGGGCACCCAGGGTCCCAGAACAACCCAAAGACAAGCTGCACGCCGAAACCAAGGGTGGCTGGGGACCGTGGCAGGACCAAAGACAGGTGAGAGCAGGGGACACAGTGGCACTTGTACTTGGGAGCTGAGCACTCTCCCTTGACCTTCCTTGGATGCGCCAATTCTATCCTTTGGGCCGAGTGCTGGCCCTTCAGGGCTTGTCTGGTGTGGGTCATCATTGGTCAATGAGAGGCAGTCCAATGGAGGTCATATTCGTGCCTACTTCATAGAGTTGTGAGAAAGTCTGCCCAGTATCCACATGAGAAGGATGCTGGTGTTCCCATTTTACAGATGGGAACGCGGAAGGTGAGTGCTCGAGTAACTTGCTGGAGATCGTATCTCAGTCAGTCAAACCACTGTCTAACAGAACTACCCCTGCCATGGTGCACCTCGATGCGCATCTCTCTTCCCTTTCTGTCTACTGCGCACCTTCTAGGACTCAGAAGTGGAAGTCAGTTTCGGCTGCAGTGAGCTGGGACGGATCACTCAGTAAGCAAGATAAGATGTGGTAAAAGACATGTGAAGCTGTTCACTACATATTAGTAAGTAAACCTTGCTTACTGGGTGCTGACACTAAGTCAGGTATGGGAGTTAAAGGACCCAGGGGTGCTGAGCCTTGATGTCCTCTCGGGCAGGACATCAAGCTCAAACCCTCCACTCTCCAGAAGCTTCTCTGAGGTCTCACTTTCCTGTGCTCTTCCTCTTGGGACTGCGGCTCACACACTCAGCCCCCTTTCTGACGTCCAGCTGAAATTCAGTCCAACGCCTGGGCCTAACCACAGCAGACAATCAAACCGTCCACTGGGGCTCCGGCCTGGTCTGCTGACCAAGCTGGCCTGCCTCAGCCAGCTCACTAACAGGTTACACGATAGCCCCACGGAACTCTGAGTGTGGGTGGGGAGAGGAGCCTGGGGCCTTAGTCTGCACATTCCCAGTGCTATAATGGGAGGGACCTCGTCCCCCTGGACAAGCCGGCCCAGGCCAGCTGAGTGGGCTGCAGTTCTGGCTGGAGCCCTGCAGAGCCCTTGCTTCCCACTCCCCAGCCTCCAACTGATTCTCAGCCTGCAAACTCTCCCCTACCTTCAGGAAGACCCCCACCCAGCTCCCCAGCAGGTGTCCCCAAAGGACTTACCACAGAGGGAGATAGTGTAGCCGTCCAGGACACACATAGGGTGGCCGAGGATGAAGTAGCCGGAGAGCTGATTCACCACACTAATGGTGCTGGCGATGATGGTTTCTGCCAGATCAGCCACTGCCAGGTTCACCAGGTTTCTGTTCAAAGGGTGGCGCAACTTCTTGAACTTTTGGTGGCCATCAGCACAAGCCCATTGGTTAAGACAGAGGCAAGGACCACGAACAGCATTTAGGCGCTGGTGATGTGGTACACCCACCGCGGGGCTATGTGGTAATTGGGACCTTCAAAGGGGCCTGGAGTTGGGAGGTACAAAGGAGACAGAGGTCAGGGTCGTGGCAAAGCATATTTGGGGATAGACTCATTCACTGACCACCCTGCGAACAGTGTCATTGCTCACCTCAGCCCTCCCCCTGTCTCCTGCCCACCAGCCTCTCTCACAATTGGCTTTTCCTTTCCACTTAGTGCCTGCTCTAGTTTTCCAGGCCTCAGTCCCTCGGCCAGGCTCTCAACCTCACCTGCCCACTGTGCAGGTGCCAAACCCCGTGTGCCATTGATTGCTCCTGCCCCCTGTGCCTTCCCTAGATTCCCACTAGCCCCAGCCCCACTACCAACAAGGAAGCCATCCACACGGCTCAGAGCCAGACTTTAGGTTTTTGCCTCCAGAACTGTGAGAAAATAATTGTGTTCTTGAAAGCTGCCCCCTTGTGGCTTTTCTGTTAACACCGCAGTAGGAGATAATGTCACCACCATCTTGGAAAAGTACTTGAAGGGGATATAGGACTCCCAGTCACAGCAGAAAAGCTGGAGTCCTTACAGCCATCACACCATAACCCCTGCTACCACATGCCAATCTCCATTGATTTCACCATGGTGGTTAGGGCTTTTTCAGGGGCACATTGCAAAAACCCAGCTTGCCTCTGATGCTGATCACACCTCTGGTCTTGTCATTGCTCAACCCTGCTTTTTTCTCTCTGTGGAAGGAGGGCCGCCTGTCTTCCCAACGTGGGGAGCGTCTAAAGCTCACCAGGAGTATCTGCCACAGCGCTAGATGATATGGTATCCTTACGAACCACACTATGCAAGCAGCTGGGTGCAAAGCAGTGACAACTCAAGGCCTAGGTGGTGTCTGTCTCTGTGCAGAAGTGGCCAGAGGGGAACAACAGGGCTTCTGCTGTCCCTGCAAACAGATAATCCCTGGGAAGTCCCACAGGCTAATCAGAGAACCACCGCTGAAACTGACAGATGTTTTGAACACTCCACCTTGCAGGCACATGCAAAAAAACAGTAACAATCTAGATGTTATAAGCTCAAAAATGGCCTGTCACAGGACCCTTCCAGGACAACTTGTTATTAAGAGCAATCAAGTCAATTCCAACTCATAGCATCCCTGTATAGGAGCCCTGGGTTACGAGTTACCCTAACCTTCTCCTGGACACGCTTAAACTAAACTCCCTCTTGAAACGTGTAAGTCAGTCACTTCATACCTTTATCGTCCTCTCATTTTAGATAGCCAATGTCTAAGTTGCCCGTCCCTATCTACCCTGTATACAGAAGAGATAGTATTGATACTTAATGTGAAGACTCCTTCCCTCTGTGTTGGTATTTTGAGCTGCTACCTCCATGAGTATAGGTCAAGTTTATCAAATTGTAGCAATTTACATTCATTTCCTTTATAAAAAATTTTTTTTTAATTTTAATCTTCCTCTAGTCGAGTTCTTTATTGACGACGCAACTTATTGACTACTGTGCTTTATTGACTATGCAAAGGCTTTTGATTGTGTGGATCATGACAAGCTATGGACAACATTACAAAGTATGAGTATTCCGGAACACTTAATTGTGCTCATGAGGAATCTATACCTGAATCAAGATACAGTTGTTCAAACAGAATATGGAAACACTGAATGTTTTAAAATTAGGAAAGGTGTGCGACAGGGTTGTGTTCTTTCACCATACTTATTCAACCTGTATGCTGAGCAAATCATCCGAGAAGCTGGGTTCTATAAAGAAAAACGTGGCATCAGGATTGGAGGAAGACTCATTAACAACCTGTGATATGCAGATGAT